AAAAGGGATGCGGCCAATTCCGGGAAGAGAGGCAGTCGGAGACTGTGAAGAAGGAGAGATTGACGGGGTTGATTTAGGGTTCCAAGTGGTTTGTTGTGGCAGGGAAAGAGGCTGTGGTTTAGAGGAAGAAATGGGTCGGGTTGTTTGTTTGGGTTGGGCCAAATATTTCTGCTCTTGTAAAAAGGCCAACCCGATGGCCTCATTCAAGTCAACGGGGCGAAAGGAAAGCACATCAACCTTAATATCTGGTAGAAGCCCTGAAGTAAAGCAATGTTTCAACATCGGCGGTGACATCTCTGTCGTACGGTTAGAGAGCTTTTCAAAACGGGAGAGATAGTAATGAACGGAAGAAGTCATTTGCAATTTTGCAAGCCAACTCTCCGGTGATTCCAATGATTTTGCTCCAAAACGAGTCACAAAAGCTCTCATCAAGTGAGCCCAACCACATAACTGATGATTCCGGTACATCCATTGATACCAATCTCTGGCGTCGCCTTCAAGGAAGAATGAACATTGGTTGATGCTTTCTTCGTCGGAAACATTGTAGTGGTCGAAATACTGATGGGCCTGGAAAATCCAACTCTCCGCAGCGTTACCGTCGCACTTTGGCAATTCAATGGCTCTGTCTCTGCGAAAGTGATTAGAGGGTTGTTGTTGTGGTGGTGGTTGAGTGACGTTAAAAACTGGTGTCTGTGGTGATGTATGTTGCTTATCCAGTTTGTGGTTGCGGCGTCGATGATTGACCCAACACAGAGGAAGAAGGGCTAGTAGCGAGCGGCACCGGTGTCGGAGAAGGAGCTCTTTGAGAAGCCATGTGCGCAACAATCTCCTGAAGGGTATTGTGGATGGAGTCCAGAGCTTTGGTGTGAGAGGGTTGACTGCTCTTGGAGGTGTTTCACAGCTTCATCCAAAGATTTCAACCGGGTATTGTGTGCACCGTCACCCATTTGTAGAAGGAGGGTCAATGAAAGCACCAAATGTAAGGAAACAAGATATGATATTCAATTGAACTGAAGGGTAACACTATATTATCCTCAATCCTTAGGAAAACAAGGAGAAACAGTGAACAAAAAAATGAAAACCAAGAAAAGAGAGGTCCCAGACTGCTACAAGGTAGCTAATGAAATAAAAAAAAGCAAACTTCATCCACACCTATTCTAATTGTTGTTGCTGCTATATATGCTATTCCTTGCCAAGCAATTCTTGTCCCTTCTCTAACGACTTGACAGATAGAACATTCCCTTTTGGATTGGGGACCACGTAGTGGTCCAAATGACTTGGCAAATGCCTCTCTCTAGTACTGCGTCTAGGTACTGTTGGAGTGTGCTGCTGATTTATTACAGATAGGCTGCCTGCATCATTCCCCCGGGGTGTAGCTCTTTCCCGGATCTTGCGTCAACATGGGAGCTTCGTGCACCTGGCTTCCTTTTTTATATCCATACACATATTACTAGTAGTTATTTTCCGCTGGTGGTGTGAACTACAGTAAAGACATTCCTGGGAACAAATTCTAAGCTAGGATTTATTAATTACTTTTGCTTGTGTCTTCTCATTCAGACTTTAGGCTTCCTACATTGTCCTTCCTTGGTGGCATCTGATATACTCAAGCCTAAAGTACATAGGGTGGTGGTCAAAGTTTGCAAATCGACTTTCTTAGTTAAATTTTAGAAACTAATTAGGGAGAAGCAAAAGTAAGGCCTTATTTGTTTGCACTTAATGAAGGTCTGAATCTTAATTATTCAGATCTTAGATATTAAGTGCGTTTGTTTTTAAAGTTTGAATCTTAATTATTTAGATATTAATCATTAAGTGTGTTTTTTTTTTTTTGCTTTACAACCACTTAATGTGTCTGGATAGGTCTGTATGATTGAGATCTATAACAGAGATTTAATTTCATTAAGATGCTATCACATATTTATTATTAACTGCCGCCACCGCCCACCATCATACTCAACCACCACCACCACCATCATACTCAACCACCACCACCACCATCACCACCATACTCAACCACCGCCGCCGCCGCCACCACCACCACCACCACGTCACCATCATCCTCAATCATAGCCGCCACCATTATCGACCATCACCATTCACCATCCCCACCACTCCGACCACCATCATTCTCACCCACAGTCAACACTTATCCACCTCAACTACCACAACCAACCACCCCATCACCATTAACAACCGGCACCGCCATCACTATAACCTACCACCACCTTCCTCAATCACAAATCACCACCCGCCATTATTAACTATCACCACCCACCGCCATCCTCAATCATAATCGCCACCACTACCAATCACTACTAGCTACTAGCATGAACTACCATCATCAACCAAAACTACCACCAACCACCGTATCTAGTCGGCATTCACCCGTTAGTCATCGCCAACAATTATCATATTTTAAAAAATTATATATTTTATTGATAGAATATTAGATTAGTTAGTATTTCATTTGAATTTTATGTGTATTATTTTTCAAATAAAGATAAATTTTACGCATTCAGATGTTAAAAATCAAACAGTCTTAATTTTTAGTATCCAGATCTTAATACACATCTTAATATATTCAGATGTGTATTCAGATTCAGATGTCTTAATCTTAATACACATCTTGATATTCAGATGTGTATTCAGATTCACACGTCTTAATCTTAAAAAAATAAATGAGGCCTAAAGTTGTCTCACTGTGATATACAGGTAACGAGTTCGAGCCGTGGAAGCAGCCACTAATACTTGCATTAAGGTAGGCTCTCTACATCACACCCTTTGGGGTGCGACCCGATGAGGAATGCTTTGTGCACCGAGCTACCCTTTAATTAAGGAGAAACATAAGGTACGTAAAATGTACACGTATTATTTGGAGAGTTAGGAGTTACAAGTCGTGTTTTCCCTATTTTTTTCCTGACAATTATGGTGTATACGCCAACTTATGTATATCTATACTATTCACTGAATACCTGCTACCTTCAGGTATTATTTTTATGATAAATGATCCTTTCTACCCCAGCAGGCCAGCACCATTAAACATGGAAAAGGAAATAACCCCAAACAGATAACAAAACAATAATCTGCCAATCGCATAGCAGCATAGACCATAAAATTGCAAGGTCTATTGAGGGCACTAAGCAGAGAATTATTAGCTTCAAAAAATTGTAAACAACAACAAACAACAATAACGATCCAATAAAATTTCACTAGTAGAGTTGGGGAGGGTAGTGTGTACGCAGATCTTACCCCTACCCCGAGGGAGTAGAGAGACTGTTCCCGAAAGATCCACGGCTTCAAAAAATTATTAGCTCCAAAAAATTTTAAAATGCCATAAAAAATTAAAAAGGAGGTCCAAAAAATCTCTTATAAATAAAAAATAATGCAGAAATAACTATTAATTATCCCTTTTTCTTTGTATCATGAGACAAGCATGTTGTAAATCCCTCTAGCAAACATCATACAATAAACTTAGTAGAGTTGATTCAGGTAAAGAGATGATATGCTAGTCTACAATTTTTTTTAAATCGGGAAATTACCTTGAGTTAATGGCGCATGGGTTAAAACTCGGTGGATATTAGATACACCCCTCTACCTTTCTTCGCTTAAATATCAAAATTCTATAAAGTTTGAGCCCATAACTTACACCTAACCCATACATCACGCGATGTGCACCATTCAATATTTTGTAAGTAACAAAAGAACTGGCCAAAAAAGCTAGATTAATTTGTTACCTAAGATGTGCATCCAATATCATTTCTGAAACGTGAAAGCCACATTTGTTAATAGTAAATGATCAGTGGTTAGATTAGACAGTTGATTAATCAAATTTGCGACACAGAATTCGGGATTATTTTATCATGCGTTTTATTGGAATAAACTCTAGGTGATTTTTGTCTATGAACATCCCATTGTTTTTTTGTTTTTGTTTTTTTGGGTACGTGTAATAGCTAATTTTCATGTGTTCCAGTAGGTATATGTGCATATTTTATTTTTCGTACTGAACATATGTCGATTTTTATAAAATTTTTATTTGATCTCATGGCTCATTATATTCATATCCTGGTACAGTGCTTGTCTGCTTCTGCCTCAAGTTACACGTGTTACGACTGAAAAATAAAATATCGACTGGTATGTAGATGATGAGATTTGTGGATACTAATTTAAAAACATTTTGTACTCTGTTTTTCTTTTTTTTAATTACAAAAATCACATGTTTTAGCAAGAACAATGGAGAAAGCCAAGTTAGAACTTTAGGCTTAATCTAATAATTAAAATTGAAGCCTTGCCTTTCACCTTATATATATACCGACCAACATTCGTACACCATATAATAATATAAAGTGCTTATTCAAATATAATAGAGATACCAAGGTGGAGGAAATAATCTTGGGGCACAACTGTGTTTTGATTAGTTTTGTATAGATTCTTTTGGGAAAAATGTATTTAATTATAGAAAGGTTTTCAAATGTAGAGATTATAATTACCTTATTTTGCTTGTTGTTGTTACTGCATGGGTTAATGTTTTCTTTTGCATCTTTCCTTATGTCGAGGGTCTATCGGAAATAGTCTCTCTATCCTCACAAAGTAGGGGTAAGGTCTGCGATCACACTACCCTTCCCCGTTCGACCGTTTCCACTCGTGGAATTTTACTGGATATGTTTGTTGTTGTTATTTGTACAACTACATATAATAACTATATATGCCTCAATCTTAATAAGTTGGGGTTGTCCATATGAATCGTACATGTTCATCTCTAGTATGAAAAAACTCCTAGAAAAAATTGGACCTAACGTAAAATATACAACAATATGACTAAAAAACTTAATTCCAACTAGTAATTAGTATCATTAATATAGATTCTTTTCTTATATTGTACTACATCGGTTGTTAGATATGCCTGAATTCAGAGAGATTGTAGGTTTTCTTAAACAACTTCCTATATGATTTACTAAATTATCTTTTACACTACATATGAAGAAATGCAAGAAAAGCTAAATATCCTTTTAGTATATAGTAGGTTTTACATTACTGCAGATATATGTTAACTTCTTTCAAAATTTGAAGTCCTAAATTAAATACAAATATCCAAGCTGTTGATACATTTGCTTTTTATCAAATTATATCTATTGAAGCGCGTGACCTTCTTATCTGATAGAGAGAATACATTTTAATTATTTGTCTACTGGATCATTCTTTCCATAAAGTGAACTCGACGTTTTCCTCAACATCACCCCAATTAAAGCCTCTTTTCATAGCTGGTGGAGTCATAAGCATTCCTTCTGCCATACTATCAATTAATATTGGCATGTTAAACATAGCCTCCTCATCCACAAACTCCATTAATTCACAAGAATCATTATAACCCTTTGAAGAGTTCTCTTGATCATCTTTTGGGCTTTGAAAACAAGAGGATTCTTCTAACTCCAAATATGACATAGAGTGTTTCAAGGGAGAGGACACAATTTCCTTATTTGAAACTTGAAGAGCCGCGATTTGAATGTCGCGAGGGGAAGAAGATTGGGCTTTAGGGAGAGACCAAGACGATTCGGGGAAGTTAAGGGAAGCTTTTGTCCCTCGGAGAGCTAGGGCAGCAACATCGTGCGCCCTAGCTGCTATTTCAGGAGTGGTGAAAGTACCTAGCCAGATTCTTGACTTTTTATTCGGCTCGCGTATTTCACACACCCATTTGTCCCCGTTCCTTCTCCTTACTCCTCTATAAAAGGGGTGTCGTGTTTCCTTGAATTTCTTCCTTCCTGTCCTCCTCTTGTTATGTAACGACGGTTTAATAACATTCATAGAACATGAAGAAAGATCAAAATTCTTTTTTTTATCAATAATATCATGATCAGAAGAAGAACATGAAGAATTAGAAGTTTGATCATCTTCAAAATCCATTGGAATAGAGAAAAATGGTTCAAGAAATATGAGATGAACTAGTAGTATGGTAGTGTGGTATACTAAAGTTAATGAAGAGACAAAAGGTGGTGAAGGATAAATATATTATGGGAAGAAAGCTGCAAAAAACACGTGGGAAGATAGGGTGAACTTAAACACGTGGGGTGATTTTATTTTTGTTTTTTTTTTAATATACACGTTAGGCATTTCTTATTTAAAATTATTTCCAACAAAAAAGCACGTGGAAAATGTTTGTGTGTATGGAATATGGAGGGCCATATGGCGATGTCCAATTCAGACGGTGACTCACGGCTGAGAGTGGGTGGGGTGTGGGGCGGGGGGAGAAGAGCTAGTGGATGTGGTCCCCACATATATTTCTGGGGGGAGGGTGTTTGAGTGAGGGGTGGGGAGCAAGAGCTAGTGGATGTGGCCCCCACATATATTTCTGATTTCTCGCTCCGCGTTCGGTGTTCATTGCGGTCCTACCAAATTCGAATTCGTATTATAAAATTTTGCATTTTGGAGTAAAGTGCTTTTAATTTAAGACGACTTTATACTCAAGGCCTAAACTCGAAATCTTTAATTAAAAATGAAGGAGTATTTACTATTCCACCACCATTTTTGTTGGTCGTTCCCTATAATGTATGCATTAGAATGTTTATGAAAATTATTATAAGTATGTTAATGTTTTTTGGTATAAGGGATTTTTTTTTTTAGGAAAATAAGTAATTTTTACTTATTCTCTACTGTTTTGCTCGGAAGTGAAAAAATAATTTTCCTAATTGGTGATAATGTCTGCAAATTATGTAATATTTTAATAATAAACTTTAATAAGATTGATATAATGGCGAAGCATTTGTTTAAAAAATAATATTAATATGTGTTGAAATAATTGTAAAAGAAAACGACTTTCTCTAATAAGTGGCTGAACAAGATTTTCTCGTAACAAACACTAGATGACTTTACAAAAAATAAAATAAAAAAATCCGACCATACCAAACATATTTATTGTCTAAAAAGGTATACATACAGTGGTAATCCACAGCAATTGACTTGATTTTTTTAATTTTCTTTGGTTTAGTTCACTAAAATTGATTTGATTAACTTTTAAATTGAGAAAAACATATGAAGACGTCGAAACCAAACCAAATACTATTTTTATTACAAAGTGTCTAAAGCCCCTTTCTTGTGCTTGATTCTAACGAAGGAAACAAAATGTAAATATGGAACTAACAAAGGAACCTTCTAAGATCGGGCCAAACTAATTTCTAGCTAAAACTGAAAAAGAGTCAAAATGATACCAGCCACTTTTAAGTATACTGTTTAAAATATATTCACAATTTATAATATATTTAAAGATTAGCCAATTTCGTTCAAATTTTAGGACACGGCGTCCTAGAGTTTAAACCTCAAAATTCAAACTTCAGGATATCGTGTCCTGAAGTTCGAAAATTGTATCATGAATTTCGAATCTTATGTCCTGAATTTTAAATTAGTAGTTCAGAAATTCAGGATACTTTTTCCTGAATTTCAAATTACAACAACAACGACGACCCAGTAAAATTCCACAAAGTGGGGTCTGTGGAGGGTAGTGTGTCCGCAAAACTTACCCCGACCCCGATGAGGCAGAGAGGCTATTTCCGATAGACCCACGGCTCAGGAAGACGGAAAGAAAACAAGAAGAGACAATATATCAGTATCGTCAACAGAAACCATAGAAATAGTAACAACATCATTAAAACCATAAAATAGATGATATGCAATAACAATAACCACTAAATAAGGTCCAGAACTATGAAAAATAGGAGGGATAGTGTGAACACAGCATTAACCACTACCTGTCTAAGATCAACCCTATCAAACAGCCTCACCCCCGTTACGAAGTAGAAAAAAGCTCGACTACCTCCTAGCCTACAACCCTAATGCTCAACCTCCACACCTTCCTATCAAGGGCCATGTCCTCGGAAATCTGTAGCTGTGCCATATCTTGCCTGATCACCTCTCCCTAATACTTCTTAGGCCGCCCCCTACCTCCGCACGTGTCCGAACCATCTGAGCCTCGCTTCCCGCATCTTGTCATCCACAGGGGTCACGCGCACCTTCTCCCGAATATCTTCATTCCTAATCTTCTTCATCCTAGTGTCCCCGCACATCCACCTCAATATCCTCATCTATGCTACCTTCATCTTCTATATATGAGAGTTCTTAACCGTCCAACACTCTTCCTCATACAACATGGCCTGTCTAACCACCGCTATATAAAATTTACCTTTGAGTATCGGTGGAACTTTCTTGTTACATAGGACTCCAGATGCTAGCCTCTATTTCATCCACCCCACCCCTATGCGGTGTGTGACGTTCTCATCGATCTCTTCTTCCCCCTGAATAACCGACCCAAGTTACTTAAATTACCTCTTTTAGGGATGACCTGTGATCCAGGCCTCGCGTCCATGCCTACTTCCCTTGACTCAGCGTTGAATTTGCACTCCGGGTACTCTGTCTTAGTCCTAATCAACTTGAAACCCTTAGAATCGAGGGCCAGTCTCCATGCCTCCAACCTCTCGTTAACAGAGCCTCACGTCTCATCAATCATAACTATGTCATCAACAACCACATCCGGCACTGCCCATCCTTATAACCTACCACCACCCAACCACCACCTTTCTCAGTCACAACTATTATCATCACCCGCCATTATTAATTATCACCACCCACCACCACCATCCTCAATCAAAATCGCCACCACTACCAATCACTACTAGCACGAACCACCATCATCAATACAAACTACCACCAACCACCGCCTGTAGTCGCGCAACATTCACCCGTTAGCCATCACCACCAACAACTATTATATTTTTAAAAACTTTATATTTTATTGATAAAATATTAGATTAGTTAGTATTTCATTTCAATTTTATGTTTATTAATTTTCAAATAAAGATAAATTTTATACATTGAGATGTTAATAATCAAACAGTCTTAATTATTTCTATTCAAATCTTAATATACATCTTAGTATATTCAGATGTGTATTCAGATTCAGATATCTTAATCTTAATACATATCTTGATATTCAAATGTGTATTCAGATTCAGACATCTTAATCTTAAAAAAAACAAATGAGGCCTAAGACACCCATTCTACAATTAGATATTTTTCTTGGCACGTTGAATTACACGAAACCCTAAGAAAGGGTCAATTGCCTCTCGCTTTACTTTACCGGTAAAATTTTTCTTGCTGAATCAAATTAATATACAAAAATATTAAAAAATGTGAAAAAAGTTCAAGACTGAGAATATATAGGTGGTCGTAATCTAGGGCACACGTGTTTTGCCGTTATTAAGCGATATAGACAAGAGACATCAATATGATTTAGCTTTTAATATATAACATCAATAAAGCTTTACATGCCACGATATAACTTCATGCTTGTCGTGTGGTTTCTTTCTTTTTTCTTTGAAAATGATATATTAAATGAGAACACAAGACTTTAATCCAGCACCATCTTCCAAAAGGCAAAAAAAATCTATCGAAGAGAAAAAAAGAAGGGCACTATTTGTTACATGTGAAACGACATCAATAGAATATTTGTCACATGTGAAACGGTATATACAGTCAGACCTTTCAATAATATCGTCCTTATATGACAGCACTTTACTATAAAAGTCAAATTTTTTGGAAACCAAATTTCATTTTCTGCTATAATATATGTTTTCTATAACAGCAATTCGCTATAACATCCACAAATATCTGGAACAAACAAGGCTGTTATACAAAGGTTTGACTGTATTAATATACTATTAAAGCGGCCAGTCTCCACATCTACATACAGAAGGGGCCGCTTTTGCGAGCCTAGACGCACCTGCAACCACACTCTCGCACCTGTAGTCACGCAGGTGCGCCCAATCTTCCGCGTCTGCGGTTCCTGGGCTGCCCTTGATTCCTCGCTTCTGCGGCTTGTGGCTCGCACCTGCGGCTGGCCATGCGCAGGTGCGATTATGATAGATCTGGGGAGCTTCAGCTGTTGCTTCAAGCTCCCAACTTGGTCCGAGCCTCGTCCAATCGACACTCGAGGCCCCCAGGGCCCCGCCCGAACATACCCACAAGTCTGGAATCATAAAATAGACTTGCTCGAACTCTCGGAACGCCCGAAACAACATTAAAACTAAGAATCACACCCCAAAACCAATTGAATCAAACTTATGAACTTCAAGTTCTTCAATTTACTTCCAATGCGCCGAAAAATACTTAAACTACTCGGAATGACACCAAATTGTGTAAGTCTTAAATAACATTATGGAACTATTCCCGGTACCAGAATTCCGTTTGGACCTCGATATCACCAAAACCCGCTCCAAACCAAATTTAAAGAACTTATAAAAACCTTCAAAGAACCAACTTTCACTATTAAGCGCCAAAACGCTTTCGGATCATCCAAAACCCGATCCGAACATACACCCAAGTCCGAAATCATCATACGAACTTATTGGAACCGTCAAATCACGATCCCGAGGTCGTTTAATTAAAATGTTGACCGAACTCAAACTTAGCCTTTTCAAGCCAACTTAAGGAACCAAGTGTTCTGATTTTAACCCGAACCCTTCCAAATCCCGAACTAACCAACCCCACAAGTTATAAAATAGTAAAAGAACATACAGGAAGTCTTACTTAGGGTAACGGGGATCTAGAAAGCAAAATGACCGGCCGGGTCTATCACGACCCGGTTTCCACCCTCGGGATCGTGATGGCGCCTAACCTTTCAGAATGCTAGGCAAGCCAACAGATAGAGATTTAAATACGCTAACACTAACCAATTCCATAAATAGCAGCAATTTAAACCAAGGCAAATTAAAGGAGTGCGGAATTTCATAATAATCCAAGTACTAATACACGACTACCCAAAATTTGGTGTCACAATCCACAAACTTCTAAGAGTTACTACAAGTACCAGCTGAAAGAAAATACAACTGTCTTTGAATTAAAGTAAAAACAGTGATCCGAAATAGCTGGAACGGGATTCCATGGTCTGCGAATGCCGGCTGATCTACCTTTGGTCTCCTGTAGGACTGAAGGCGGCACCTCAACTCGGGTCGACACGATCCAGTACCGAAATCTGCATAGAAAGTGCAGAGTGCAGTATCAGTACAATTGGTCCCATGTACTGGTAAGTGCCGAGCCTAACTCCGGCGAAGTAGTGACGAGGCTAGGACACGATAATAACATGAACCTGTGCAGTAAATCATATACGAGAAAATAACAACAAATGGAAATTAAGCAAATAATAACGGGAAGGGGGAAAAACATGCTGAGGGGAATATCAAATCCTGGAAATAGAATCGTAAAGAAACGCAATAAATAACATGCTTTGCACCAATGAAAGTAATAACATAGCAAACAAGTGCATGGCATCACCCTTTGTACTTTTACTCTCGCCCTCACCATAAGAAATAATAGAAACGGCACGGCATCACTGTTCGTGCATTAACTCTCTAATAACATGGCACGACATCACCCTTCGTGCATTATCACTCACAGAATTTGGCACGGCATCACCCTTCGTGCATTATCACTCACAGAATATGGCACGGCATCACCCTTCGTGCTTTAACACTCTCCCTCACCAGAACAATGAACAATAGCAACAGGGAAATAGAAGTATCAAGAACCAGTTTTACTTTCAACATTTAATTCCACAATAATAGCCTTAGCTCTGAGTTAATACTCAACCAATACCCAAATTTTGTAAAGCATGATAAGAGTTGCTCAACACATGGAATAACAAGTCTAAACATGAAATATATGATCAAAAAGTACAACAATTACAAGAATAAGACTAACTTGCATGCTATGACTCGATATCAGCGCATAGGTACTCGTCACCTTACTTATACGTTGTACTCAATATCAAAACACGTAGCAAATAGGCAAGTAACACCTAATCCCTCAAGCCAGGGTTATACCCAACACTTACCTCGCCTACGCGGGCCTCTCAAAGCTCAATCACAGCTTTTCCCTTCAATCATACCTCCGGACCAATAGAATCTAGTAAATTACCAATCAAACGATTCAATTTAAGCCTTAGGAACTACCTATGATAGCAAGAAATTCAATTTAGGTCATTTTTGAAAAAGTCAACAAAAGTCAACACCCGGGCCCGCTTGGTCCAAACCCGAATTCGGACCAAAATCCGATTACACATTCACCCTCGAGCCTGGATATACGATTGGTTTTGAAATCCAAACTCAATTTGAGGTCTAATTCTCCAAATTTCGAAATTTCTAAGTTCTACCAAAAATCCCCAATTCCACCATGAAAACCCTAGATTCTAGGATGAAATCTTGTAAAAATAAGTAAAAGAGTGAAAGAAATGAGTTAAGAATCACTTACTTATGATTTGGGGAAGAAGAAGGGTTTTGACAATTGCCTCTTATGTTTTAGGTTTTGAAAAATTGAAGAATGAATGAAAAATCCCGTTCATATACCACCCTCTGATCCTCACTACGCAGCCCGCAAAATCCCAAGCGCGGCCGCGAAATCTCCACCGCGGTCCACGAATTTCCCACCGCGGTCGCACTTCCAAGACTGAGACCCGCAACTCTGCAACTACCCAAGACCAGATATTTCTAAGTCTAAAACATCTCGTAGCCTATCCGAAACTCACCCGAGCCTTCGGGCCTCCAAACCAAACATGCACACAGGTCTTAAAACATCATACGAACTTGGTCGCGCGATCAAATCGCCAAAACAACACCTAGAACTACGAATTTAGCACCAAATTGCATGAAATTTTCAAGAAAGTTCAAAACTTGTATTTTCTCAATCAAAGGTCCGAATCACGTCAAATTAGTCCCGTTTCTCACCAAATTTCACAAATAAGGTATAATTATCATAATGGACATGTACCGGTCTCCAGAACCAAAATACGGACCCGATACCAACAAGATCAAATTCTTTAAATTATTACATTTTTAGCCTTTTCAATTTTCTTCAAAAATTTATTTCTCAACTTAGGGACCACGAAATTCGATTCCGGGCATACGCCCAGGTCCCATATTTTATTACGGACCCTCTGCGTCATCACAGGGTTGTTACATATGAGGTTCGAATTCTGAACTTGCCATGGAACTCGTAGCTCGTTTTATTAATTGGATTCACAATTAAATATCTATAATATTTAATTAATTTTCCAATATAAATATATGCTCTAAGAAAAAGCTATTGAGTTCGTGCAGATTGAAGAAAGCCCTGTATGGATTGAAGCAATCCCCGAGGGCGTGGTTTGAGAAGTTCAGTAAGGCCATAGTTTAGTTTGGCTACAAAAGGTGTGCTTCTGATCACACACATTTCGTAATAAAGGGTGAGCTTTTGCGGCAGCCGGTCTCAAGGGAGTCAAACCTGTATCTAATACTCTAATTCCGTCCCTATTTAAAACATCCATTCTATCATATGTTAATTAATAATATATACTTGAAGGACAAAAAATACGGAGTATTTATTTTTGTCGCAAATAATATTCAGCAGAGACTTAAAAGGAAATATCATATGCAATTTAAAACAGGAATTTTGTTGGTTCCCCAAGTACACGCAAGTATACGTGTCCGTCAAGTAATAAAGTGACTCGAAAGTCGGATGTCAAACCCACATACACTTAGTGTCACGACCCAAAATCCGCTAAGGGTCGTGATGGCTCCGGACACCGCTGTCGGGCAAGCCAACCATAAATACTTAATTAAATTCTCGTTTAAATAATTGTGAAAACTATAATTTTCCTTCAATTTGGCTAGTAAAAGATAATCTTTACAAAATAAATAAAACAATATTTAGAAGTTGATACAGAATACCCCATAATCATCCCAAAATCCGGTGTCACAAGTGTATGAGTAGTTTCTAGGAAATAATGTAATACAATAACTTTCCGAAATACAGATTGGACAGAAAAGAAAATACAGTACAATACTCTGAAAGAGACTTTGCTGGCTGCGGGTCGTCTCAAGAGGTGCAGCTCACCTAAGTCTCCGTATCAACCATGCCACTGCGCCCAACTAGGCCACTAGACATACATGTGCCTGTGCAACAAAAATGCACAGCAAGTGTAGTATGAGTATAAAAATAACGTGTACCCAGTAAGTATCCCGTCTAACCTCAAAGAAGTAGAGACGATAGGTCGACTTCGACACTTACTAGTGATCCAATAATAATATATTAATAATGCGAATAATTATGGATTTATTAAAAACGACAGTAAACTCAAGTAAGTCAAGAAACAAGTAAACATAACTTTTTATATTTAGAAGTCTCCAAATTCATAATCCATAATTTTTTAATTTATCTCAGACCAGGGAGGCAATATCAATTTGTAAATATCAAGCAAGCATTACAAGCATGCGCAAATCATGCCGAGGTCGTACGACCAGATCCAACAAATATTTAAACTGTGCACTTCCAGAGGGTCGAATGGCGCGAACCATAGATGCATCTATTACACCGATCACGAATCATATGTGCGACGCTGTCAAATATAAAAAATAGAGTTACCCCGCTCGCGAATCATACGTGCGACGCAGGTACTCATAGATACACACATTCAAACAGTCAATTAAGAATTCATCAAGAACCATTTATCCAAGGAAAAGTCAATTCTCTTTTAACGATTTAAGAAAATGAGGTTTAACCCTTTTTAGAATTTTTTTTACTAATTCGATATGATTTAGGAAATTTCAGTTGTCAATAAGATTACAAATATTTCAGGTATAGCATGCTTTTGGGTCCTAGACTATCCGGACTTAAACATAATAGTAGCTACACACGGACTCTCATCACCTCGTGCGTGCGTAACCCCCACAAATAGGAGCACATAACCAATTATTTACCTATGGGGACAAAAGGTTAGAAAGGAGACTTACCTTGCTCCGAAGCTCCATAACCGGCATTCCACGCCCTTCCGAAGACTCAAATTGATGCACAACGTTCTAAAACTAGCCAATAATTATGTAAACCCATTAATACATGTTCAATTACTCATAATATCCAATTTATAGCAATCCCTAACCCCGATTAAAAAGTTGACAAAAATGCCCTCGGGCTCACGTGCCCCGATTCTGAAATTTTTCGAAGATAAAGTTTACCCACAACCTCACGAAATCAAATATATAATTAGCTCTCAATTTCATGTCCAAAATTGTGGTCAATATCCAAGAACACAAATTTCCTAGGTTTTCTTCAAAATTCCAAAATTTCTACTAATTTACATGATTTTCCATGTTAAAATCTAGATATAATCCAAGCAATTAACTTGCAATAGGTGGGAACCACATACCTTGACATGGATGATGAAAATGGAGCTCTAAAATCGCTCCTAGGTCGGCTCCCATGGAGGTAATGAGATGAAATGATCCAAACCCATTTCTTTACACTTATACACTGCCCAAACGACTCTTCTTCGCGTTCGCGAGACCCCCATCGCGTTCGCGAAGAAGAAAATTCCGAAAAATCATTTTCCAAACTCTTCTCAGACAACCTCTAGTATAATGGCCATAACTTTTTGTATAAAAATTTCAAATGACAAATGATTTAATATTTTGAAAACTAAACACCAAGATCTACAACTTTCATGTTTTGGTCATCTCCCAATTCCTTATATATCATTAGCTGCCAAAGTCAGTGTGACGACCCGACCCGTCGTCACGTGAGTTACCGCCCCGTTTTCCTTATTTTCTGCTTCATTATGTCTTATTACAAGAGTCTCGGGTGAATGAGTCGATTCAGATTGGTTTTGGATGGAAATGAGACACTTAGTCTCTTTAAGGAAACCTTGTTTTGGAAAAGTCAATCGGATGTTGACCTATGAGTTAGAGGGCTCGGATGTGATTTCCGGTGATTTGGTTAGCTTCGGGGGTTGATTTGTGACTTAGGAGTGTGATCGGAATTCATTTTGGAGGCCCGGTGTAGAATTAGGCTTGAATTGGCGAAGTTAGTATTTTGGCGAATTCCGGTTGATAGGTGAGATTTTGATTCGAGGGTCGGAATGGAATTCTGAGAGTTTTTGTAGCTTTCTTAGGTGATTTTGGATGTGTGTGCAAAATTTCAGGTCATTCATAGGTGTTTTGGTCGGGT